TAAATTTTCAGACTACATAATAATGTTAAAAACAAACAGAAGTGTTATAGATACATGTAATCATAGGAACTGAGACATACATACCAGAATGTCAGAATAGTATTGTAAAGATTCCGAGTTGTATTTTTGTAATCTTCTCATGTTTCTGATTATCATTCTTGAGGTAGACAAGTAATTAGAAACAAGCACAAATGTATTGAGAGATTAGATAAGAAATTAAATTTTTTTGTGTGAAAAAAGATATTTAATTTTGCATTGAGCATTTTAAATGGATTGTAATCATTTATTAATGATAGTAATTGATCTTTTTTGTCTTACTGTTTTAAATGTTATTTTTCTTTTGTCCAACACAATGCTGCATCAAGTAGCTTGGTTCAAAGTAAAATAAAGTAATCTTAATACCAAAAGTATGAATAGTGTTGTAATTACATTTCCTTCTGTGAAGGTGTCAGAATTTCGAAGGTATAGCTTCTATCCAGGTCAGCAGCTTTGGGGACCATCTCATTGCTTAAAAAATGCAAAATGGATACACACCACAAAAGACACGCAGAGCTTCAAGCCATCTTCCTTTGTAAGATTGACAGTAGAAAGTGTAAGTACACAGCTTGAAACCTATGGTCAAACTAGAAAATGTAGATAGTAAAGATCATAAATATCTTATTTTAGTGTAAAATTCATATACAAAACATACAGTGGATCTTTTATAAAATATATAACAAAACATTTAATTTTTTGTATCTGTTTCTAAAGTTTTCATGCTGGCTGAAGGTTTGAAACCATATTTGAGAAAGACTGCAAAAAGCTTCAGAAAATAATGTTTCTATTAACCTAATGTTTTGGCTTATGCATTTTTTGAATGTTTTGGAGCTTCACAGGCTACAAATTTGATTTTTAAGTGAAAGTAAATGAAAAGTGTGCTAGACTACAACAGTATAATAAAACAGCACTTGTTTGAATGTGCTATATAGTTATTGTTAAAAAAAATAGGTTTGCTGATCAAAGTAATACATTTAATGTAAATTGTTATAATATATATTTAAAAAATATTAAAATAAATGAATTATAGTGATAAACTTGCATAAAAAATATAACAGTTTTACAGGAGCAAAACATTATATATGTTAATTGTTTGGATTGAATCAGAAGAGAATTCCTTAAATTTTCTGTCTTTACAAAAACATAGCAATTGTCTAAAGTTTTGACATGCTGTGGTTTCACTTCTGTTATGCTGTGTGATTTGATGAGATATTTAATGGTGGCTTCTTTGTTATCAAGATTAACAGTGGCATGAAGATGTTTCTTGAAATGTTCATATATATATATATATATTGGATGACAGGTTTCACCTGTGTCTTTGACTGAATGCTGCGTACATGTAATTTCTAAGACAGTGTTTGTAAATGTGCACAATTACTTTGAATCATTTGACTTAGCAAGGCATTTTGTTAGAGTTACATTGATCATTTTTATTAAAAACTGAACAAGTAAGTATATCTTTCACTTCTAAGTGCATGTATGATGTGAGTATTAAGAAATTGTGACCATATTTGTATACATATTTTGATTAATTTCAATGTTCAGAAACATACCTCTTTTTGTATTCCTGTGTCATATTACTCATAATAGGCAAACACTGAGAAAGAAATCATGTTGGTTATAAGTACTTGTTTTATCAACATTATATATTGCTAGCTTAATATGTTATTCTTTTACTTAGGTTAACAGTTGGAAATAGAAGTTTCATAGTTTTTTATGTTATGTATAGTAGATTTAGTTAATAAGGATTGTTGCAACAGAACTTCAATACAGTATTCTTTGATTACCTTTCAGAAATGTTTAAGTTACACAGCTTTATGTCATGAATATTTCCAATCATTGTTGGTTAGAATAATAATGGTAAAATGTAAATGTAGTGCAATCATTATTAACTGGTGAGGTATATGTTAAAATTTCAACTTTATATAACAGTGACTTGCCTTAATATTAAGGTTCATATATCATATATTTTTTCTTTTGAATTATATCATTTTCTTAGATATCTGTGTTTATTTCTTCTTGCCAGCAGTAACCTGTAATTGACTATATCTTTCCTATTGTTTTACTTCACTATTGTCTTTATATCTTTTTGGTCCAAAGGATATGTTACCAGGTTGGTCACATTGTGTTTATGGGTGAAAAACATCAATCTGAACACACAATTTTATAGCATTATGACTTATTAGCCTTTCATTTTATAATTTGTTTTACAAAGTATATATATTTAGTTCTGTGTATAAGTTAATGCATTAAAAAATAGGGTATTTAAAAAATTTTCATTTGGTACTCTGTGTAATTTTTGATTTTTTTTAAAAGGTTCATATTATTTCCATGGAAGTACAGTGGTTATGTAGAGCCTTCAGTAGTAAAATTGGAAGTGATGCTGGTGTCGAACAACCCAAAAACACTGTTGAGGGTGATGACTTAAAGAGGTTGGCTGTTTTCTTCCAATTGATTGATTAAATTTTAATGGAATATATTTTATTGTTGTGTGTGTTTTATCTAGGACAATTTCCTATTTGTCAGTTTCTAGGCTATATTTTGCTATGTGTACAACTCATTGTAATATTTAATTTTAAAACATGCAATGTTTTGTATTTGAAAGTAAAAAAAAAACGTTTTGCATAGGATATAAGAGATTTCTTTGTTTTTATGAAAAAATGGTAGGGAGAAGAAATGGGAATGCAGTTGTTGAGATTTTCTTGTCTACTTTGATGTTTACACTAAACTACAATTGATATTTGAGGCTTCTTTTACTGGATTATTGACAGACCAATCACAAGACATCTTTTTAAGCTAAAGGTATTCAAACACATTGAAAATGTACAAACTCTTTTAGCTTAATGGCAGACAATTGAAAAGGATCTGTGTGTAAAGGCATCCTTTAAATCTTACCATCTGCCTTAATGTGGTGTTTTTCACGCATTTGTTTAGGATTACATTTTTCTTTCATTGGACATTATTTTTGTGTGAAATAACTTAGATGGAGCCTTAGTTGGAAAGACAGATGTGGTCTAATGAAAGTTGGAGAAAAAAAGGTATATGACAGTTCAAAGTTATTTTCAGTGATTAAAGAATTTTTATTACAAATGAAAGCATATTACAAAAATATTAAATGTCAAAGATTCCAAAATTCATTTCAGTCTCATAAGCTATATTATCATTTTGATTGATCCAAAGAATCTGGTCATATATTACAATAAGTAATTTATTGATCTCAAAAAATATTACATTCATTTTTTAAGAATCATATTTAGCCCAGATTATTAAGTCAAAAAGCTTGCTACTTGAAAAATCTAAAAAAGTGTTTTATATTAGTTAAATTTTATAATATAGTAAGGCATCTTTGTATTTAAATGCAAGTCAGAGACTGGTCAGCAAATCTTACAAAATAGAAAAAAGAAAATTTCAACCTACTTTTGCATCTTACTCATCTAATGCATTATCTTCCCTTGAATTATCATGTCACTTTATCAGCCAACATTAACTGAAAAATTGGTTGTCACAATGCATACATATTTCAGCATGCATCAGTTATTTTAAAATTAAAAGAAAAACACTTTAATGGGATAGTCAGAAGTTCATGCATGAACATACATAGTATTCTGTATCTGCCTTTTTAAGCAAAAACTTAATGATTGGGCAGTAATTTACCTTGGTGAAAGCTAATTTGTTTAAGTATTACCTCAGTATTTCATGAAAAGACCAGCTTATAAGTAGCTGATCTGATCATTGCAGTTATACCACTTGTATGTAGTATGTGTCTAAATATTTCATGAAGTGACCAATTGTATGCTGTAAGTGGTCTGTTATTTTCATCATTGGAGCATGAGTTACAGTGGCAAAAGTCCAATGTTTATTGGTCATCGCAGCAAAAAGTAATGTGAATATTTAATGCCACAAAATAGCCTAGAATGTTCCAGAGAGTATATAGATTTGTCAGGCTTCTGGGGGGTAACCCCACCCTTTATGTGCTGGAACCAAAGACCAGCCAAGGGATTTATTTGTTGTTCTCATCCCCGTTTTATATTTAAGACAAAACTAACATAGGTGTGAAACAGTACAAATTTAAAGATATAATAGGAATGTTATAAAATGAAGGACTATTGGAAATTAAAAAAAAATTATATAAAATCAAAAAGTAAAAAGAATAGATAGAAATAAGTGGTACATAAAATATCAGAAGTTTGTTAAGGAATGTAAAAGGTCTAAAATAGGGAAGGTAAATACATAAAAGTAACAATTGAAAAGTCAAAAGTAGAAATTTAATGTTTAAATGATAGAAAAGATGTTAAAGGTCTGAGGTCATTGATGCTAGTCATGGTTAATGCCATAAGGGTTAACCCTATTGTAATGGGCTTGTGCATTTGACATAACCTTCTAACCATCATGTAATTATAGTGGTATACATATTATGACTCTGAAAGTACTAAATGTATCTTCACGAAATTTGACAAGTTTTCAGTAAACATTAAAAGTCTTTTGGAGACGAAAAATCAGAATTTTTAAAGAAATATTTTAATTAAAAACTTCTCCAGGAATATATATGGAGTCAAAATGTTGCCTACTTTGAGTGCAAAGCGATTTTCATGTTAAGATTAGAAATACTCTAACAGGAAACCATAATTGTTTTACCATAAATAGCTTAAAGCTTGTAACAGTATGAATCTGTTTATACTTACTCTTATTGTTTTATTGTCTTTTGAACCATAACTAATTAATAATCCTGCAACATAAATTGTAAATCACTTGGCAAATGTGTAGCTCACATTACTCTATCGAATTACATAACACATGAGCTAATCGCAAACACGCCTCATGAATAATTTTTATTATTATTTAATTTTTCTTTATCTTACCTAATCGAACCTTACAAGTTTCTAATTTTTACATTTTAGTTACTTTTATAATAATAAATAAAGAATACACTGTCATTGAAACTTAAGCCTATTTTTTTAAACTAATAGTATTACCACACTAAAGTTTTTATTTAATTAAATACTGCATCTAAGAACCCAGAATAATAATATGTAAAAAGCAGACAATGTCCTATAACTATCATAATTTTTCTGGCTTTCTAGCTATGTGGTAAGAGCCTTTACAAATTCAGCTAAGCATGTCAATGTGTGTCCTGTTGGAATAACATTTGAATTGGAAGCAAAATAGATAGCTCTCTGTACAAAAAACATTGTCATATAATACAGCATTTGATAGATTGAAACTTTGGCTTTCCATCAGTTACAAATAATATAGTATATAACATCAGAGAAAACTATTGGCAATTTGTGAAAGAAAGGATGTGACAGGTGGGTATGGCAAGTGGGTCTGATTTTCTATTTTATGGCTCCCTAAATAAAAAAGATTCAAGGCTATAAAAAATAATACTTTGCCTGCGTAAGATCTATATTATAATAAATAATTTATGTTAAATTCTGTACTTTTTGGAGGGGTGGTAAATAAGTCACAGAAGTGGGAAGACAGAGAGAGCAAATGCCACAGTTCTAATACTAGGGAAGCTTGAGGATTTTTTTAAAAAATATTTCCTTATAAAATTAAGAATGTAAAACTTAAATAAAGTAAATTTGATTTATTAACTATGTTCTGATGCCAAGTTTATTTATATACATTGATAATATAGTTTAATTAAATTTTGAATGTAACTCTGTAAAAGGTTGTGACATACATGCTTTGACCCACTAATTACAAATGTGTGAATAGCATTAAGAGTTGTATTTTAGTAATCTTCTTTCATATCTACAACTGCTCTAGATTGAAATACAGTTGTGATACCTATGAGAGCCATGCCATTGATAGAATAGTTGAGTTGATTTAACTTTTTACATAGTTTCCATACTATAACTTTTAATATGTTTAGTGTATCTTCACAAAATTTGACAAACTTTTAGTAAACATTACAAGACTTTTGTACACAAAAAATAAAATTTTGTAATTAAGTGTTTTAACCAAAGATTTGTCAGTGAATATATGGAATTAGAGTATTAACTGCTGCTAGTGCAAAGTGGTTATCATAGTTAGATTAAAAATACTTTTCTTCAAATAAAAAATTTTCAAATTGAATTTGCATCGCCTCTAAAACCTCCTAAATGAATATCAAACTTTTTTTTTTCAGGCACCTTTGAATTGTGTTTAACTAATAATCCCACCACAAGTTGTAAATCACTTGGCAAATGCATAACTCATGTTACAGAATTAAAAGATCTTACACACAAACTGCTTGCGATTATATCTTATGAAGAATTTTGTAATTATTAATATTATTTTTCATTATCTTTCCTAATCTAACTGTTTCTTGCCAAATAAATTTCTGGTTTTTACATTTGTAACAATAAATAAAAATTATACATGAAGAACAAGAAATGTTGTACTTATCTTTGATGTCTTGTTTTTTTTGCTGTCAGTTGCCAAGGAAATTTAAGCCTACTTTTTTTTTTTTATAATGATGGTATTAGTACACTAAATAGTTTTTATTTACTTAAATAATGTCGGCATAGCCAGGTGGTTAGGGCACTCGACTCGCAATTTGAGGGTCGCGGGTTCGAATCACCGTAACACCAAACATGCTCGCCCTTTCAGTCGTGATGGCATTATAATGTGACAGTCAATCCCACTATTCATTGGTAAAAGAGTAGCCCAAGAGTTGGCGGTGGGTGGTGATGACTAGCTGCCTTCCCTCTAGTCTTAGACTGCTAAATTAGGGATGGCTAGCACAGATAGCCCTCATGTAGCTTTGCGCAAAATTAAAAAAAAAACTTAAATAATGCACCTAAGAACATAGAATAAAAAATGCACAAAACAAACAATGCCCTATAATTATTATAATTTAACTGGCTTTCTAACTAAGACAAGAAGGGATTAAAATAATTTCCTGAGCAGCTCAATCTGAACATGGCAAGAGAAACTGAAGAGAAATCAACAGAAAACAATGTAGCATTATTCGCCATTCTATTGGTTAGAAATGATATAAAATGTCAGAGAAAGAATTAATGGCAAGTTGTGAAAGAGATGATGTGGCAAGTGGGTCAATTTTTCTAGTTTATGAATCTGTAAACAAATAGCTGAAGGCTATATAAGTTAGACTTTGCCTTAGTAATATCAATATTGTAATAAGAAATTTACGTTAAATCCTATACTTCATAGAGGGGTGGTTAATAAATTAGAGAAAGGAAAAAACCTAAAGAAAACAAGTTTAATAATTCTCACACTAGAGGAGATTGAAAACTTATTTATTAAATAATTCCATATAAAATTGAGAACTTAAAACCTATATAATATTAAGATTTGATTTATTAACTATGTTTTAATGCCAAGTTTATTTGTATACATTGATAAGAAAGTAGTTTAATTAAGTTTTGAATGTAACTTTGTAAAAGGTCATGACATGCGCACACTGACCTACCCATAGCAAGAGGGTTAAAGTGTTGAGGAACTGGAAAGTATTTGTGAATGTTAATAGAAAGTTTGTGGTTGTTTAAAATATTTTATAAGGAGCATTTGTGTTTGTCATACGTATGGTTATATTTTTTTTTACAGTGTAATAGATAGATGGTGTTTGTGTAGTACGAGTAGTCTATTTCTTGGTTTTGAAGTAGTTTTGCTTGTGTTTCTCAGAAAATGTGTTCCATAAACTTGCAGGCCTGACAATGAACTTTATTACAAGATCAGCAGCCATTCTGTGAGAGCGCGTATTTTACTTTAGCATGAACAGGATATATTAAAAATTTTTGTTTTTCTGGAAGAAAACAACAGGAATTGTGGAGATAATTTATTATAATGAGTCAGTAAGTTAAAGTAGATGGAAATGTGTTTGTTTTAGAATACATGAAATGTTCATGAGTTTTGGATGATATGTATTGAAAAAAGGAATTCTATTAAATACTTTAGTGTTAGTCTGAGGATGGTTTCTTGTTGAGTGTTTCTGGCTTTTTCATTCTCAGAGTTTAAAGGCTCTTTTTACCACTGTATATTTAATACGTATATGTGTTTTTGTAATGAAGGCAAACTAGCAAAGTTGATTCTGGAGTTTTGTTTGAAAATGGAGTTTTCTTTAATAAACTTGAGGAGAGTGGGTAGGGTTAACTAAAGACATGGATGAAGGTGAAGTGATTTTGGAAGATAAATACAGGCTTAGGATGATGTAATTATGAATAAAGTATTTGAAGTTAGGAGCTAGGTTAGAGATACCAGAAAAGCTGAGGTGAAGACTATATTGGGTATGAAAATTATGGTTTATAAGTGGTTTAATATCTGTGTGTGGTAAATGAAGGCAAGAAAGACATTGTCTTTGGTAAAAGTGTATTTATGTGTTAGATTTTGTGTATTTAATTCCTACAATGAAAGGTTTTCATTTATGTATGTAGGGAAGCACTAAAGATGGCAAGTTTGATGTTTCACCTGAACCTAAAAATGTGCACTATAGGATTTCAAAGTCCTAATAAATATTCCCTGGTAGTTTTATAAATCAGTTTGAGGTCATTGTTACCAAAATGAATACTACAAAAGGAATTGGTGTCAGATATGAAAAGTGCATGTTTATAGTGTGATTTATAATAACTTAAGTAATAGATCTGGTGAGAATAGGGTATCCAAAAAAAACAAAGTTAATTGTTTATAAATATATATATGTACTTTAGTATTTAGTCACTTAAAATGCATGTGTTAGGAAATAAAAGGGGTTACTTACCCAACTTGTGCTCATACTTATTGTGTGAAGGTATATTCATAATGGTGAAAAGAAACAATACTTAAGATTAAAAAATGTGTTTGGTAAATCACATTAAAATAAACTGGATGAAACCAGTGATTTCAACAGGTGGATTTTCTTTAGGAATAAAGGAAGATCTTGAATGTTAAAGGATGCTATTGCAACATGAATTTCAGGTTTTAATTTGAAAAAAAATCTAATAAAATAGGTGTTTTAAGTTTCTCATTATATTAACAAATTTTCATCTGACCAATAAATTATTACTGAATGTATGATATTTATGAATAGTTTATCAAATGTTATCTAGGCAATGGGTTCAGTTGTAATTGATATCCTCAGTTATGACTCCATGATGAGTGTTTAAATGCATTCAAACAGATATCATTTAAGTGTTTTCTAGTTCTTGTAAGAATCTGTGAACAATTTGTACATTTTCCAGAGTAAAGATGATGCACGTCCTTGAACCCTGTGCTCTTCAAATTGGGGACAGAAACTTTTATGTTGTTAAAGAGACTGACAAAATCTTACCCTTGGATGAATGGCGAAGGGAAATATCACATAGACTATGTCTCGAAAATGTGTTGGAGTTCACAAAGTCAGAACCTGAACTAACCCAACAATCAGTCCTGGAAATGCCATCACAGGTTGATCAAAATTTAGCTTATGTACCAAATAAAGATCAAAAGCAAGTGGATGAAACTGATTCAGAGTTTGAAGATGTAGATGATGATGATGCAGCTGGTGCCTCAGATAGTGCTTCTGTGACTAGCTTGTCTACTGCATCATCAGTAGAGAAATCAAATGCTGGTGAGATAAACCCTTTATTTCAGAGCTGGTTTATGTAGACATTATGATTTGTTATGTGCATTATAATCAAAGCTTATTTGTTTGACATGCTTTACATGTAAACAAAGGATTTAAACTTTACATAATGTGTGCGAAAATGAATATCATGCACCATTATTAGAAGTATAAATATATTGTATTTGTAATGATGCCTACCGCTTGAAGCAAACATGCTCCTTACTTATTGACCTCAACGTTAATGTTAATAAGATTGCTTAGGCAATCACTTTTATGTGTTTTATTACCTTAAGCTAATTTATTTTCTTTATGACAGATATTTATTGTTAAAAACAAAATCTATTTAATGATATAATTAAAATCTATAGCTTTCATAAGGTTTTTGTAAGTTGTAGCAAAATAATAAACTAACTTGAAAATTAAGAAAACAATTTTATAATATACAGCTTTATATGTTTACATTTGTGCTAGAAGTGTTAGGCCAACTTGTTCTATTTTGATAAAATATTTGCCACAAACAGCTTAATCTTGTGAAAATTTTTACTCTAAACAATATTTTAAATTTTCGTATATGGACAGTTGAAGGAGTTGAATACCAATAACGGAATATATCCTAATGTATAACCAAGTGTTACCATATCTTTTGATCTTTCCCACACAATCTAACATTAAATGAATATTGTACTATTCATCTACCATTCTATCTCAAATGCTAAATTGTTTTAAGTCTTAAATATAGAAGAAGAAAAATCTTTCTCTAATGATATAAACGAGCTTCTTATTGAGTTCATAAATAAATGGTTTTAAATGTTAATTTTTAATGCTGAAGCTTGATTTCACACTTTTTGTCCAGTTACTTTACAAGCAATGTCTCTTTTTGCCATGTCCTTCCTTCCACACACAGTTTAAACACACAAAACTCCCCATGTAAATACTTCTGTATAAATAATATAATGTGTCAAACAATGATCATTACTATCCTCCATTTGCTATTTTCTGCTGGCCTTTCTCAAATTATATGGTTACCCAATTATTAGCAGCATTTTCTTTTATACCAGGTACAGTAGGGTATCTACTCTATTGCATTCTTTAGCTTTATAAATCCCTGTCTTCATTCAGTGTGTATTTTTCTGGCTGTACTTCAGGTGCATTTACTTTAATAAATTTTTTTTAGAAACTTTTGCTATTTTTCTCTCCAAATCAAAATATTTTTGAAAGGCTTCATATTCTTTTCTTATAGACTTGTGACCATACATTTATTTATTTATTTATTTGTTACTAAGGTTTTGAGAATTGTGTTATTCCTTTAGTCAGAGTTCCCATGCATTCTTGAAGTTGGTAAATATTCAGGAATTTCATTTAACAATTTCGTAGTCTGAAAATATTTGATAAAATTGGCAAATATACATGTTGTGTTTCTTTGCTTACAAAGTTCATTTCATCTACTTGTTGGTTGCATAAGCATCAGTTAGTTGAGATTGCAATATTGTTCACCATTGGCCGATTGCACAATGTATGTCATTTACCTACATATTAGCTTGATCCATTCAGAAAGTGCTACCCTTACAACAAGCTCCCATGTTTTGATGGGGGGGTTAAAAGAATTATTGTTTAACATATTATGTTTTTATAGAAAAATTAGTGCTAAATGTATGATGGCAAATATTTTGCAATGAGTTGGACTCTTAATCCTGTGCAAGTAACTTATTTATATTCACCTCTGCATGTGCTAGAGATTTTGAGAAAAAACATGGAAAAATTATTGAAATTCATGAAAACTTTTTTAAATCATCAGTAATTATTGTTGAATATTTTTCATTTGAAAGTGGGATAAACCCTGTTCAATACTTGTACAAGATGCTATTTGACTATGAGTCATATTATTCTCTCAAGATTCATTTTATTGTAGCTTGGGTTCTGAATAATTTACTGTTTTTGTTTTAACTCTGGGTTTTTATGTGATTTGTGTATTAAGTCCTGGATATTATAGCATTGTTCTTTAGGCCGACCTTGCACACTACCTTGTTGGAAGAATTTTTAAATTCTGTTAAGCTGTTTAATCATCTTGTGTTGCTTATTTTTGGATGTTGAATTAGTAGTTAGTGAAACCTCTTTCCTTCATTATCCTTCTTAAATGAAATTGATTTGTTAGTTGTTATTTTCTTCTTTCGTTGAGGGTACTGTTTTTCCCATATCTTTTTTTATTAACTTTCTCATTGCTTGAATGTATTTCAAGTATCATATTGTCAGATATAAAAGACTGTTTAGTGTAGGTATTATTAATTTATTTATTTTGTGAGAATACATGATTGTTTAGTTTTTTCATAGCAAGAGAGTTAAAAGCAATTATTTTAAAGGCAATAGTTATGACAAGTTTGGTTATGTAACCTTGTAAGAATCATATGTTGTGTTTATAATTCATTGATGTCAAGGCTGTCGAACATTACATGCAATCCATTGATGTCCAGGATATAGAAATTTCTAGAAGGCCTAAATGATAGACTTATAAGTAGTGGCAAGCAGACAAAAAAATAACAGAAGAGAGTAAAGTATAGTCACAGGAAGAAGTTTGGTCAGAGAAAAGTGAAATGCAAAGTTAATCATCATGGGAGTGAAAGGCCTAACAGTTGATATGTTACAATGAGATTAACAATTTCATAAGAGATAAGGAGAATAACTTGTCTTGTCAAAGGGTGTCAAAGTAATTGAACCAACCTGAGTGGATTGACAAAAGGCAGACAATTCTTGGAAATACGAAAAAGGAGCAGATGATTTTTGAAGTGCAGGATACAACCATGCTAACTCAACAACAACATAAGTGAACTGTCCACGGATTGTCTGGCGACAGAAATAGAGAAATACAGTTCTGCTTGTCAACTGAATTCTAAAGCAATTGAATAGGCCTAAGTGGACTTTTAACAAGAAGAAGAGAACTATATAGTGTTTAAGATATAACTGTGACCTTCATAGTGTAAGGAATTTTGTACATTCTTTTAACTTGTCCTGAATATATAAATATATATTATTTTGAAAACAAGTGGAGTGCATGCTGTTTGTTTATTTTGCTAAGAAGTCACAGACACTTACTGTAGAAGAATCCTTAGCCCAACACCCCTATATATTTACTTACTTACTATATATACTTAAAAAGTAAAGTTACTGATACATATCTTTGATCCTTTTTTGCAGTGTCTTAGAAATTATGGTTATTCAGAAGATTTTTCTCACATTTCCCTTGTTGCTTTTGAAAAGGATGGTTTCACCCTTTATTTTTGGGCTTAGTTCCATCATTTTTTACACTTTTTAGTTGAATATTTTATTCCTTTGTCTCCCTCATATATTCCGTTGTGATAAATGTGCATTTTTCTTTTCAACAAAATATACACAGCGGGGTCACAAGTAAATAGACACCACCTTTTCAGAAAAAATGAAATTTTTCAGTCATATTCACATGAATTGATATATTTATAATTTAATTAATATCTAGTAGATCTTCCTTTCACTTCATGGAGTTCATTGATCCTTTGGGATATCATGAGAATCATCTCGTCAATTTTAGATTGTGTGATTTTCGCCCACTCTTGCTTCAAAACTTGGAGTAGATCGCTCTTCGAAGTTGGTTTTTTTGGTTGTTTCTTGACTTGCCGGACGAGTATGGCCCAAAGGTTTTCAATGGGGTTCATGTCAGATGATTGTCTTGGCCGGGGCAACTTCTGGATACCATTTTCTTCCTGCCACTTTTGGATGTTTCTAGCAGTGTGACACAGTGCTCCATCTTCCTGGAACAACGTTGTGTTCTTGTCCATGAAACCCGAGGAATAAAGTGGCAAGAGTCTTTTCTCCAATATTTTGACGTATTTCGCAAAATTTATGTTGCCAACGAACTCCACTAAGCTCGATCTCCCACCAACCCCAACAGCTCCCCAAACCATCACCCTGAAACCACCATGCTTCACAGTTGGCTGCAATCTGTTGAGCCAAAACTCTTGGTGAGGCATTCTCCAGACCTATATCCTTCCACTGTCCGAAAATTGAATGAATCTTGATTCGTCTGAGAACAATACGGTCTTCCAAACGTCCAGAGGCTTGGTTATCATATCACTTTCCCACTTCTTTCGTCTGACTATGTTGGCAGGTCTTAATAAGGGATTCCATCTAGCTGCTCTGCAACGATAACCCAATCTGTGGAGAATCTGTTGAACAGATTTTGGGCTCATCCCACCAACTTTGGCCACTTCTGCAGTCATTAGTCTGGGATCCATTTCGATGCTCCTCATGACAGCCCTTTTTATCTTCTCCGATGGACCAGGATGACCTGGATGCTGCTCAGTTGTTTCCTTGCCGTGTTTCCTGAACTGCACAATGATTCTGTTGACTGTTGAAAGCGGGATTCCCAAATTCTGCGAAATTTGCCACTGACTTATTTCACCATCTGCTTGACCAACTATCCTTCATCTAACAAAAATCTGACAATTCGAGAGAACCTTGAGTTCTTGGCACGTTGTTGCACAAGATAATTAGTGTGCAGACCATTTTCATTTATATAGTGCTCTGTGAACAAAAATTAGCTAGCATAAATCAGTTAAATGACGAAAAATTAGATGTCTATTTACTTATGACCACTCAGTGTAGCTTGCCATTAGCTCCTTGAAATTGTTTCTACTTGTGTAGCTTGCATTTTGGCTCAATTCCTTTAACCTTGTTGATTTATCATATTAGCAAATTTTTAAGTAATGTTAGTGCTGCTGAAGCCATGATTCAATGGTCTTTCTCTTTCAGACACTTGTTTCTGAAGTTCATTGTTTTTTATTGCTTTGTTGACTACTTTTATTTTTCTTCAGAATTTGTCCTTTATGTATTGCACATATTTCCAACTCCTGCTCCCTTCTGGAATGGACTGTCATAAATCCATGTGTTCCTTCCTTGCACATGTTTGAGCTGTTAACCTATCACATTTTAAACCTTTATTTGCAAACCTTTTTCTTTTGCTTGTTGATATATGTTATAGGTACTCTGAACTATACAGTGTAAATATGTCTCAAACATGTTTTTAAGGGATAGTGTAATTTTTTTCCCTGTTTAGTAATTTTTGTCCAAGATATGGGAAGGTGATAGAATGTTTTTCTCTATATGACTTTCTTGTATGGATCATTCTTGGTTTATCTATTAGAATCCACAGCATTTGAAGTACCTTTTTCTTTCACTTTATTTCATTGGATGTGACAGTGTTTTTCACTGCAGGGGAAAAGAAAACTGTAGCTGGTTGTTGTTTTTTAAAGAAGAAAGGAAGAAAATTATATTTTACTGAGAGATGACATATTAAAACATTTACTTAATATCGCCCTTTTCAAGGTTAAATAAAAGTTGTATAGTATGTCCCACATATGTACCAATTGCAGTACTATAGATGGAGACATTCATGGCCCTGAAATAGCTAACATTAAGATGCTCTGTCTGTGTGGGGAACTAGTAGAGTAAAAACTTGTTTACTGTAGAAGGAGTTTGAATGTAAGAAAAGGTTCTGAAGTAATCTGAATTGGCAGTCCAACTAAAGAAAATTTCATGAATGTACATGTTCTTTTTTTACGTATATGTGTGTGTGTTCTTTCACATGCAGAAAATTGTTAGTACAGAAACACAAAAGTACAATAGTAAATGGTTTGATGCCTTGATTATTGACTGGGGTATAAAGAATTAACTTGTTCAAACTTTTTATTACCTTGACCAAAGACTTGTTTATAGAGGGTTCACAATATAAAGTGTATCAGTACTTTGCCCCAAGTAGTTCATAGCAGCAGGCTTTTAGTGCCATAATCAAAGACTTGTATAGAGTTAATGTCAAGTGTTTTAGTGTCCTGGTCCAAGATTCACTTGCTTATGAAAAGAAAACATAACATGTGTGTGTGACATGCACTTCCTTGATATGTTCAATATGCATACTTGCAACAAAAATAGATTATTTCTTGCCACAGGAGTTATGCTTTTATTATATGTTCTTTTATACTTTTTATTAAAGAATATGTAAAATGGTTAAAGAACTGTTTTATATTTATCAGTTATATTTCATACTTGTGTGTAATTTTATTACTAATTGTTTGGATAGGCAAAAATTCAACTACAACATGCAGTGAAAGTTATTCAAAATGTGTGAAATCCATTGTTTATTTATATTGCATTCATTCCTTGTAGAGATTTGTTTAATGTTATTTTGTCATTGAAGGCATAAAACATAAAGCCAAAAGAGGCCCAACACTTGTGACGAAGATGTTGAAAAAGAAAAAGTTGAAGAAAGCAAGAAGAAAACTCAGGAAACAGAATTTGCTTATCAATGTGGGAGACAAAGTTGTGACAGATACTCTAATAACAGAAACTTCAGCTGATGTTGTGTGGCAGGTAAATTAAGCTTATTAGAAAAAATAAAAAACTTTAATATATATTTCAGTTGACAGCAAATAATGATGTACAAGAAGGGTTAGAAAATTATTAATTTCAATATGGTAAGAAAATAGTAACTATGATGTGTTGAAATTTCACCTGGCATGTTCAGTAATATCTTCGAAGTGAATAAATATTCATGTTTTGTTTGCATAATTTTGTGTTGAACAGTTTTAAATTTAATTTTTTTTATTAATTTGATTTTGTATAGATAAGCTCACTGTTTTCTTATGAGTTTTTTTTATTTAATGAATGAAGGATGGATCTGTAGAATCTCGTGTTTTGTCTTCGGATCTATACCCTGTACATCATCTAGATGGGCATGAGTTTTTTCCTGGTGATTTTGTAATAGAAAATAAAGGTGAGATAAGAAAATGTTTTATATTTTTAGTGTACAGATACCTTGGTTTTCTATATGCTTAAATAGTGCAGTGGTTTATCCTTCTTGGCTGCTTGTTTTATTGGAGGAGTATATAATATGTTTGAAGTGGTAAACTTATTAAAACAAATTGTTAGACATTTTAAGAATTAGTTACTTGAGAAAAAAAAAATATTTAAGATATCATCATGCTATTAAAACTACATTTGTACATTTTAACGCTCTCTACAGCATAGTTAATTCTGATAAATTTATCAAAGTGTCTTTAAAATGACTCCTTCCTTCTGTAATGATGAGGATAGATTAGAAACATGAAACTGGAGGGAATATTTTTGTGACAATTAGAAAGATGTTTGATAGAACTGAAGCATTTATCTCTGTAGTTAACAATTATTAACAGAAAAGAGATGCTACTAAAAATTTATTAATCTCAATTTTCCACTGAAAATCTTTAATTTTCTTATATTTGGGGAGAAAAAAACAATCAAAGAACAGTGATTCTCAGTATTCAGGTATTTTCAGCATTATTGACAATAAAATAGTGCTGAAAAGGTGTGTGTTTTTTAATTGTTCTTTCATAGTTGAAAAGTATACAATGTGTTTTGTTAATATGGAATGTTTTCTTTTAATACTTGTATATTTACCATCTAAATAAAGTATTTTCTATAATACATATTTGTTCCAACTTTTCCTTACCCACGTATGTTAAGTTTAAGCTGATTTTTGAATTAAAGGCATTTAAAAGTAATTGAATTAACTTACCATCCTCTCTTTCTAAATATCAGATCTGTAATTTCACTTATTCTGGGTAAGAAGTGACTTTTACCTTATTATAAAGTGCTTTTCATCTAATAGACATTGATAATGTTAGATGGCATGACATCTTATCAATACAGATTTTTTTTCTGTTAGACATTTTATCATTATTTATAGACCTTCCAAAAACATTGGTTGTGATGTATGTAGTATTTTGGTAAATAAAAAAAGTAACAGTAGTTTAATTTCTGTCAGTCGTATTAACTCAAGAACAGAATGAGAAACAATGCTTATATATGAACATTTGTTATTAACTTCTAGTGCTTACTAAAGGTGGTGAATTGTTTATATGTTTTAGTAAAGTGCAGCTGAAATTACTATTGTGTGAATTGTTTGTATGTTTATGTGAATTATTTTTGCCACGTAATAAATTGTAAAAAAAATTTCACTTGAAATTGTTTACTTGTTCAAATTTATTTCCTGCATAGATATATAAGTAATAACACATATCCTTGTAACTTAACCATTTCTTGTCATTGGTTTAAGATATGTTTAATAAATTATGAAACCTTGTGGTATATTAAATTATGGCTCAAGTAATAGAATAAGTATATGATATAATAAAATAATGTGTTTTTATGCCTCTCAGATGAATCTTGTTAAATATATGTATATATATATTATATATTATATATACTTTTAACGTATAATTTATTAAACATTCGCTTTATTTTCTGATCCGATTTTGAAATTTCACTCAAGTCGATAATTTTTATCATTAATTGCATTATGTTCTATTGCGTCATTTAGCCTTTAATATTTTTAGACTTTTAATGCTTTGTACAGCTCCACTCTGTGATCCATTTTAAGTAACTTTTACTGTTTTCAACATTTCTGGGAACTTATTTCTTTATAAGCTCTCATACAGTATGATCACTTTAAAAAACAAAACTCACTTTGTAACTGAAACAAAAGTATGACTATGATAATTGCCATGTAGTAGATGTGAATAGCACTGTCAACAGATAAAAGTATTGCCAAAAATTACAAATATTTTGTATTTTGTGACAATGTTGAGAAGAAGCCTAGATTCTGACATTTAATTATGGTAATCATGGATGAGTTGAGTCTTAAGTAGCTAATTTCCATCTTAATGAAAAAAATAAGGTAGGTCATAGATCTTTAATTCTCTGTAGATGATCCAATATAACATATGAAGTTCACATTAGGGATGAAGAATATAACAGTCTAACTGAAAACTGTAGTTGTAAACTATATCACCTGTTATCAGTTAAATTAAATTAATAAAATGAGTTGGAGCTAGCTGGAAAGCCAGATCAGTTTCAATCATTCTGTTCGAGTATAAAAGTTGCTGTTCAATTTAGCCGGATAGACTAGTATTTTTTAGAAAGATTGTGAACCATAACGTGTACAACTTTATAGGCACTTCTGAAGCTTTTATTTGTTAAAAGGGACTGAGTTTGATGATGTATGTAACAAAGACAGTTTATATATAATACAAGTTTACTGTAAAAAATGTAGCTGTATGGAATTGTAGGAACACAGTTGATTGCTGTATGAGACATTGTATACATATAAAACTATGTTTTGAACCATAAATTAGTGAAATTTAAATAATTTTCAAGTAGATGTGATTAGACTTCTTGTTTATTATACTTGCAAAGAAAAATATCTATAATGAGAGAACAGAAGTTTTTTCAAGCTCATAGTAGAATACTTTTAGTTGTCTCCAGCACTTCAGTGTATTAAAGTTATAAGGCACTTTTTTGCTCTACTACTTTATGAAAACCTACCAGGAACCTCTGAATAAACAAAGTTTTCCTTCTTCAATTATTTCAGATGATCCTAAAGCTTACGAGTATGGAGTTGTGAAATATGTTGACCACAGTGGCCGTACAGCTCTTGTCAGTTGGATGAAGACATATACAGCTGGAGCTGATCCCCAGTATGTATTAGCAGCTAAAAAATAATAATTTTACAAAAAACATCAAACAGCTTAGCTCATTGTTCTTGATGTGCTATGTTTTGAGATACATTTATCTTATTTTAATAGTTTTGTTGCAAAATAGGGATGCTACCAGTGCTATCCATTTAACATGTAGAAAGTTTGTGTTACCTGTTTCTTTTTATTATTAATTAACAAATTTAGTGTGCATAGTAGTCTTTGTTTACTAGTTTTCTTAAACTATATTGAATTATTTATGCCTTGTGTCAGGTGTTCTAAATTTTGGGTTGTGACCCTACAAGGATCATGAGAAGCTCCTAAGGGGGGGGGGGGCTATGAAGGAGTCGAAAATATGCAACAAGTTTGAAAAGTTATTCACTATTGTTTATTTTCTCTTTTTTTTTTATAAATACTACTGTATTAAATGAGAGTTAGTTTTTTTAACTTCTGGGTAATCTGGTTGTACTTAAGGGAAAGCATTTCTCTCTTTTTTTATTCTTTTTAGTTCATTTCACCTTTTTACACAATAATATGGAAGAATTATTTGTGCATTACCATCCCTAAATATAAACTGATAGATTAGAGGGAAGACTACTCTTATCTTACTGAATAGTGAGATTTGACCATACTCTTGTAGTGGATCCATACCCCCAAAGAATGGAATGTGATTATTTTTGGCAATGGGACACAAACCATTAATTCTTGGATTCACAACAGTCTGGGTATGCTAACCATTAGGTCGTGCTAGCCCTTTTGAGTGTTTAATGTTATGGTATAATGGAATAATTTGAAAATAAATCTGTGTGTAACTGTATTACAGTACTTTTTTTTCAGGAATGTTAAATATTCTCCATTAATCTATAGATACATAACAAAGGGGTGGGGTCTTGAATGCTACTCAAACAAAAGCAAACCCCAGAATAAAAAAGTGTAAGCTGTCCATGACCTGATTCAGGGTGAGATCGAGTCCTTCATGCGGCCTGGGGGTATCTCTCCAGGAGGTGCTGATTTGAATTTTCATTCCAAAACAGGATATTCTGGGGAGAATTTATACTTCCTGTTTCCTACTTCTTCTGAGGACTAATCTGATCAACCACCTTCTGTCACTTTTCTGCAGTTAGTTACAAGTGTTTGTGGAGTTTTGGAGATGCAACCAATTGCTTTTGCATCTACCCCTACTTTGTTGTCAGATTGTTCTCAAGGGGATTACTTAGTTTTTCCTCCTCCTCCTGATATTGCTGTGCATGCAGGAAGGTTTGCAACACAATTACGTGAGGATGTTGCTATGCCTCCTCCTCTCGTTTATCTGAACAACATGCCCTGGCGTATCATCGTCAGGATGATATATATTTAGACACTCAAAGATTGGATATGTTGTTGGATCTATGGGGTGCCAGGTATGAATCTGTTATTTCTCTTAACAGGTTGCAATTTTTGCTAATTCATTTGACTCTTACTGCTGTTTTAAGATACTTCTCTTCCCTTCAACTTTTGTGTGATGCACATCACCGATCGCATCAAGAATTTGACGACGAACTGGGACCTTTACTGGTCACTACTATGACATGTTTGTCTTCTTCAGGATTTGCAGTGGTGTTGTGGTTGGTCTGTTGCTGGGACTTGTTGAGTCATGATACATTTTTGGGAGGGTATTCACTTACCTTCTTCTATCCTTCGAGATTTACAGGAAGTGCATTTTCTTTGGCTTTATTTATTTGCTGGAATTCCAGAATCTTTAGAAGACAGTCTTGCAGTCTTCTTTGTCATCTTTGGCTGCTTGATTCTATTCTACTTCCACTGGTATTTCTGCAGGTTCATCTCTTCGTGTCTCAATGTCCCTTTCTTCCACTCCTTGTTCCATAGGTTCTCTTAATTATTTCTGTCCTTATTCTCGGGGATATTTTGTGGGCCAGTATGTGGACTTCTTCCGACACGTTCATATCTCATTACCTTCACGATCTGGCAGTTTCCTCTTTGAAGGGACTTTGTCTTTCCCTTGTGGCTGTGTTGACTTACTCTACTAGATTTTAACAGGGTAATGAGTAACATGTTATCTGACTTACAGTTATTGTTCTTTTCTCTTCTAGGGTCCCTATTGATTTCTTTGGGATCCCACTCAGTGGTGAGTGTTGCCCAGTTGGGTATGCTTGTATTTAAGTTTTGCATTAGCAACCTTTATATCAGTTCCTGGTTGCAATTGGCTCTGTCGAGATGAGGTGTTCCATAAGACCATCTGGATGCAATTCTCGATGGTGATATCATATTACAATATTTCTAATGGACTATCATGAATAAAGTTAAAGGAGATTTTGCCAGTCCCTGCTGATTGTAGAGCTGAATCAGTCGAGATCAGTTTGCTTTTAAAAATTAGCGAATGTGGTTCACTTGTTGCACTGTCTCTGGAGACATGTTCCTAAGACCTCCCCGATGCTTCTCCCCTTTCTTATACTAGTGGAGCTCAGGAGTCCTTACCACAACCAGTTCTCAGTCTCTGGGGTGGTGGACAGAAGATTTACCTTCGGATTGTTAAGTTTTCTCCACTTTCGGAGATGATGGTGAAGTTGGGGACTCTCCTACCTGGGTCCCTGGAATTTTTGTTCCCAGATGTTGGTAAGAGCAGGATCAACCTACGTGGGAGCCTACTCATAAAACCAGTCCAGATTTGACGCTTAGCTCTCCTCGGGGGGGGGGGTGGGCTTGGACCCTCTTATGAACACTGTCACGTCTTATGTTGTTCATGCAGGAGAGTCCTCTATCTCCTCTTAAGTTCAAATTCTTTGGTCCTTGGTGGGACAGTGTTCCACATCCTCTCCTTAATTCCATGGTAAGCAGAATTCTCCTTGGAGGAGTAAAGACAACTGTTTGTAAATCCAGACTGGATGAGTTCTGGATTTTAGTGGAGTATGGCATATGATCCCATCAATTCAGACCTGGGATGTTGCCTTTTGGACCTCTTCAGGTTGATCAGAAGGATCATCCACTTTAGTATTGCTTTATTTTTTCATAAATCTGGTGGTTCAAAATGCATCATTTTGTGGTTACTGGTAAGGACCCTATCACAAAAATATACATATATATATATATCTGCGGTACAACTGCCCTAGCCACCAACATGGGATATGGGTACCATGACCCCTTAAATCCAACCCGAATTGTGGGACCTCGGCTGTCTGGTCGGGGCTGGACAATAATACTTGTATTATATTCCACACTTTTCAATTTACTGTAGTTCTTGGTGAAGAACATACGTGTTATGGATGCAGTGTGGTGTTCCCCACTTTGATACCACTTCTTGGGGTACATATTTGTCATCTGTCCTAAACTGAAAAGGTATTTCCAAACATATTTACCTCTGCTGACACTCTCCCTCCCCACTAAGGGCTGGTGTTAGTGACCGGAATGTGATTAGTCTCAAAAAAGGGAATTTATTGTCTGTATACAGTGCTTATATACAGTACCTGCATAGAGGGCATGTGAGGGCCGGTGTAAAGTTTTGCAAATTATATATTACCGAGGGCAGTCAAGTGGGGTATATAAAGACTGGAGCAAGCGAACACAACGTTAGATGGCAAAGATGAAGATCAAGAAATAGCTATTAGTGTCAGCAGAGGTAAGTGTTTGAAAATACATTTTCAGTTTAGGAAAATGATAACTTTTGATCATTATATAAGATTGTGCTATTTAAAAGGCTACAAATGTTGTATGTGTATAAAATATCTAATAGTTAATTATGTACAGTTACCATAGTAATACAGTTAATAATTAACCCTTTAAAATTTCTGTTAGAAGCCAACTGGTGAACTTATTAGAGGTTTGTTGCATTTTCTTGTTTTAAAAGTTCTGTTCTCACTAAATTTAAAAAAAGAAAAGAATAAATGTATAGATTTACTTTTTTTCTTAGACCAATATTTCTTTCTGAACAAGAAGTTAGTGTTTATGACATCAAAGACCATCCTGACTTTAAATACCGTCCAGGGTGTTGTGTAGTTCGAGTGGCTAATTATGAAGTAAGAAATTTTTCTTCTAATTTTTTTTTTCTGATGTATATTTTCTAAATGAGTTTTAACTTAAAATAGTCATATTCAATTTAATAGGTCAGAAACATAGTAGCAGCTGTGTAAAATCACATCTTCTATGAGTAAAATAATCAGTTATTTAGGTTAAAATTCAAGGAACTTGGGTACAACATTAAAACACTCAAATGATAATCATTGTATAATACACAATTAAAATTTTGTTTAAAAACTGATCAGTGGTTGTAAAAGACACTACATGTTTTAACGTCTTTTACGACCATAGATCAGTTTTTGAATAAAATTATAATTTTGTATTATATAACGTTCATCATTTGAGTATTCTAATATTTTAACCAGTTATTTGGTTATCTGTTTGAAAATGTTCCTTTTTCCTTTATGAAAATAACTCAAAACATTTCTCTGTGGGCTTTAGGTATGTTCCCAAACAGGTTTCTAAAAGAACTGTTTTCATTTTGGTCTAACCTCTGGTGTCACAAGCTGTTGAAGCTTTGTAGTAGATTGAACTTACATGGTTTGAATAAAATATAAAGCATTCCAAAATCTCTCATGCATGAAAACATCTTTGCATTGGTTTGGAAACTTTATGTTATCTGCATAGTTATAACATAATTTTCAATGATGTTAATGAGCAGTCTATCAAGATCCTTTACACACACACAACCCATGATATTCTGGTCTGTATTGATGCCAAAACACCCTTCAAGTTGCAATCAAATATTGCATTTTGGCTGTACAGGTTTTTTCTTTACCAGTTTGGCTCTTGAGTTTGAATTTGATTGTGCAGTTAATATTAACATTAAACTTTAAAGCATATTTGAAATCTATGTAAAATCTCTTAACCTTATCTCAGTTATGGCTCTTACCTATAACTGTTTGATATTGTAAAATGATTAAATATAATATATTTTGTTTTACTAGCATTATCTCTCATTACTATACTACTTTATATAGAGAAGTTTTAAGTATCTTATGATGTAAAGTCAAGTGAAAGGTAATTGAAGAATTTGTGAAATATAAGCTTACTTTGGCTTAATTGTTTAATATTTTCATAATTTAACTTTTAAGCCTATAGTGCAAACTTAATAAATATAACAATGCATGATATATTAAATTATACAAAAATAATAAATCCAACTGAAAATTGAAGTTGGAAAAGAAATCCTTTTGTTCAATTTAGTGCATTTGATTAATTTTCAAACTTTTTCTTGAATTTTTAACAGGATGATGATCCAGCATCTACTGCTGGTCAAGTGGTGGACATTCATTCTAGTGGTAAAGTAGAGGTTGTGTGGGTGAATGGAAAGTCCTCTCTTTGTTACCCTCAAGAGTTGTACCGTGTTGGAGAGTATGTAAGTAGTATTAATATACCCTGATATAAAATCTGTGTTTTATAAACTATTTGTACCTTCAAAACAGTTGTTGTGTTGAATGTGTGTGTGCACTTGTGAAAGCTGTATACTGAAGATGTCAGCTAAGTCACACTCCTTCTAATCAATCTCTGATATTCAAATGAGGATACCCTCAATTATAAAATTCAGCAGAAATGATAATTTGAGACTACTTTAGTGACATTTATCAAGATTTTGGTGGCATTTGAATGAGATCTCAAATTTGCAGGTTTTTGAACTATTTGTTTATTCATGTGTGTTTGTATAATTATGAGGAAATACATGCAGCTCAGAGGTTGGAACTCGATCAGTCAGAGTAAAAACTGATCATATGGTGGGTGGTCAAACAGCATTTAGCAAACAATACATAAAGTCAGATAAAACCAGCTGATGTGTCTTCATTCTCAATTTGAAATGGTATGTACATTTTTAAATTTAGGCAACAGTTTTTTTATGTACAAAAAATGAAAGCTTAATAATAGGCCTAGTAAGCCTTTAATGACATATTGTATTAGGCCTGCCAAAAATGTTTTAATTAAAAGTCTAAATTAAACTTAATGTTAACTGTTACTCATTAAAGTAAAACTAACAGCTAGTGTAAGAATTTTACAGATATGAGGATTTAGTTAGATTTATTGTAAGCCTATATCATTTTAATCTGATTAAAATTTTAAGATATCCAAATGAAAACAATTGAAGTAAAGAAAGGCATAACCTTATTTTTTTAACTTACTAATTTGTAAAACTGATTAGGCTTAAACATAATTTGTGTAACATTTCTAAATATCAATTAATTTTTGCTGCTTTTAGTCTTACAAGTTGTTATACATCTGGATATGTTACTTAACAGAAATATTTGTGACATTTCTTCGCATGTCCAGGTAGTATAATAGTTGAACCAGCCATGTTGTAATATGGATGTGTAGGTTTATAGTATTTAGTTTCAAAATAAAATTAATTTAACATCTGCTTTCCTGCATGAAAAAACACCCTAGACATTTACATAAGCATAAGAGATAAAGTATTGTATTTTGTAGAAAATGAATGGGTAATTTTTAAATAATGGAGGTACAAGTCAGTACTAATGGGAATCAATAAAAAATAACATTTTAAACAGTAGTATGATTATCTATGTCTCTAAGCTGACAATACTTATAAGGTTAGGCTGATGTTATACATGATTCACATACTTATAATGTTATTGTTTGTTTTTTAACTCTAGGTTTTTTAATGCTTTAAGCCATTAAATAAGGTCTGGACTTCAAATATGGCTTCTAAGTCTAAGTGTAAAAAACTGTCAATAAATCTTCATGTGCAAAACACTCAAAGGTAACATTTACTTAAATATTTTTATTTTCCAAGTTGGTGTTCTTGTGTATATTTATTTATATTAACAAAAAGCTGTTTCCTAATGTATATGGATAATAAGAATGTTAATAATCCATTGATGATTGTAGTAGTTGTGATGAAACATCTACAGTTGGAAATAATCACTCTGGTAATTATTTCAACTCAACTAATGTTAGATTTTGTTTTTAAATTGTCATTGTATATATGTATTTGCTTGGGAAAGCTTAAATATCCTAAAACTGGTGTGTGTATAT